AGTACTTTGGGAAACAAGAGAGACGAGAGGAGAGGTTTTAGACCTAAACCAATAAAATCGGCTGCTGTATCAGGCTTCATCCACTTGGGCTTGTGGGCCTGTAATGCTATCAAGAGTGGCCCACGTCTTCCACTGGAAACTAAAGTTTTTGCGTTTGGTCTTCAATAAGGAAAACTACACTTCATTACGTTTTTCTTACAGTTTATAATTTCAAATTGAAATTGCTAAAACGGATTTCGGAATAACGCAGAAGACAAATGTGAGATAAAAGCACAGAAATATATACGTGTTGCAAAATTAAAAATTTCTTCATAAATTTGTTTTTTTGTTTACAATATACATACAAATGCTCCATCAACATAGTTATATAGAAGATATATGAAGCAAGTATTTGTGTAGTGGGTGGAGTTAGGCTCAATGAATATTAACTTAGAAAGGATGCTGTGACACTCCACTATAAAAGAGAGATTGATTCTTTCATGGATTTAGTATCAGTTTGGTTCTCAAAATCTCTCTGTAATAAAAAAAAAAAACTGATCAACATTGTCTTTTTCGTTTTCTAAATCCGTCGACCAAAGCTTTTTCAAACCTGTAATCATCTTTGTGTTCCTCCGCGGTCTACAGGTTAATCAGATGTCAGCTTCACCCTTTCTCAGTCATGTGGAAATTAAGTTTATACAGAAAATGAGCATAATCATCAAATGTAGCAGCAGCATCATTGCATCATGTCCATTATTACATAATCGGAGCCAATAACATATATGGATTACACTGTTTTAGGCTTTAGCCAACTAAATTAACTAATGACTACCATAATTGATCCGCAAATAAAAAGAACCCTTTATCGGAAAACTTAGGAACTAAAAATGTATCAAATAAAGATCTCAATCTACAAGATTGGTGACTCGAGAGGATGGAGCGTATATAACAGTTACTACTATTACAGGTGGAGTGAGGGAAAACAGTTTCATGTTGGAGATACTCTCTTTTTCGAATACAAAATGGACCTCAACGACGTCAGGGAAATCAGCGATGATCTCGAGTTCAAATCATGTGAACCGACTTCTACAGTAGCCGTGTACAAAACGGGACACGATCTCGTTAAGCTCACCAAACCAGGAGTGCATTATTTTGTAAGCTGAAAGACTGGTCTTTATCAGGCTGGGATTAAGCTTCGAATCACAGTGCAACCATTAACCAAAAGCCGTTATTTTCCCGAATGTTCCCAAGAAGAAGTTGTCACCTATTGACCGCCTCAACAGGTGGTGGTTACTCCTTTCAGACCTCATCACTAAGCATTCGGATCAACAACTAATCAACTATTGGGTTTAGTTTAAGAACTTTTTTTTTTTGGGTTTTAAAGAGTTTTTCGTGTGTTTTCTTTTCTTTTCACATTCTTGTTTCGTTTAGGTTTTGTTATTCAGTTTTTCTTAAATATTTAAAGTTTCTATTTCGATTGATCAAGAGAATGCCATAAACATATGTTCCATATGACATGTCACATGTCCATGTGTTAGACTTTGAGCAGCTCTGTTATATATTATCAATTCATATACCTCAATGGACAAACTCAGAGTTTTATATCAAATTAAAGAGGAGTTGGTGCATGCCCTAAATAAAAGAACAATCTACGTAATTCATCTATGTGACAATGTGAGATGCATTAGTATATAAATATAAAATATGATAAATCTATGGTTATATATTTCTACAAATTGTAATCTTGTATCTTTCTGTCAATCTCAATTTCGATCGTCCACTGAAGATTTGATGTTCGAAGAACATAAACTTAATTTGATGAGTAGTCTAAGAGTCGTACGAAATGACCCGGTATCAGCTAGGAGTACTTATCATATTTTCAAAACAACAAGATCCATCTCAGTTGGATCGGTTGCATCACTTAAATTCCATCAAGTTCACGCTTGAACCTGTCCTTGGAGCTCACATAGATCATCTTGCTTACAGTCATCATGGGCAGCCATTCCCGACGCCGCATTAGCCTGTTTTCAATAAAACAACAAAAGCAATAAGATTCACATTCCAGATTCCACAAAGCTAGGCTATAATTGAATGCACACAATGCTAAAGCCAAGTATCTCTTATTTAGGAGTCTTAGAATTTCCTGAAACCTCTAAAACTAGAATAGCTCAACACATAAACTCGTTAATACATCTAGACTTCAATTGCAACTAGAGTCATCATGAGAAATGAGAGTTATCGATTTCAGCACACAACAAGCCTTGATGCATCAAACAAACGAATATCATCGTAGAAATTAATATTCAATAATTATGAAACTTCAAGGTTAATAGACATTTGCCTTGATGCTAAAAGATAAGGTAGTAGTGACTCTAATACTATACCTCCCCTCAAGTTGGAGCATGCAATGCTAAGGTGTCCAATAGTTTTAGGATCATTCAAGATCTAGAAGAAAACGTAACTGTCCTCACTGGTCGTTTGATATTATCAGAAGAATATATGCTCGTTTAATAAAAACTGGAAATCGTTCGGAAAACAAGTTCTATAAATTAGCAATACATAAATATCATTTTAAATCTCAAGAGTTGGATAAAATACTTAAATTCGGGTGACCATTATAAATCACTACCTCTAGTACTTTCTTACCTTGTTCAAAGAACCTTGTTGGATTTGAAGCAAACTTGGAACATAATTGACGAGAAGTGAACATACAGATTTTGCATCTTGATGATCCACTTGTATAGATTTATTTCCTCCCAAAATGTGTAAGAAGGTGTTGGAGACCCCATTTTTACCGGGACACAATAAAACTTTGTTCTCCAGGTCGACCAAGAAATTCATCGCACTACAAAAGTAAAAAGGCTGGTGGATATTGGCTAAATCAACTGATAGAAACTTCAACCACGACGCGGCTCCTTTACTCTCAATCTTAGTTGCAATCCATACATTTATAATCCCTACATATGTACTTAGTACCGGTTTGTCCTGAGTAAGCAAACAAAGTTGTTGCTCTTCTCTAGTCACTGATACGCTGAAAACATGATAAGAATGATGATCACCCGGAAGAGACACCCTTGTGAATCTCTCTGTTGAAAAATCAAAGCTTTGTAAGAAATTCTCGTGGTCTTTACTACAAGCAAGCCAATAAGTATTTCCATTCACAGACATGACACGGCCCTTCCACGGTTCTATGCACCAGTCTGTAGTCTTACCAACAACCCTCCACGAATTAGAGGTAAAGTCATAGATTTCGAACTCAATTAAGGTGTATGGGATAATATTATAAAATTGGTTCATCCTCAAGATTTTGTACTTGTTCCATGAGGATTTACCGAGAGCAAAGTAATCTAGTCTCTTGTATGTGCTTCTCGGTTGAATCCACCTAGTTTCAAGTGTAAGCGGATTCCAAACAACCAGTCTTTTGTCTTTGGTGGTGCATAGTAATAAGCCGTCACAGTGAAAGATATCATGTATATTGACTTCTTCTGAAGATTTGGAAAGAGAATATTTTAGGCTAAATTGACTTTTTACCTTTACCAGGTTGTTGTCAATTTTGTGGAGATTGACGCTCACTAGATAAACCCTATTTTCAATCAACATGATTACAGTAGCATGGGACCGCTGCAAAAACCGCTTCTTCACAAATTTCTCATCTTTGATCAGAGCATTCCATCTTTTGGATACACATTGTGATCGTGCTAGAGAAGCCGCTGAAACCCTAGAGAGTATCTCCACTTCCAATTCCTCTGGGAGATACATTGTGCTTGAAATTAGGGTTGAATACTTGGGAAACAAGAGAGACGATAGGAGAGGTTTTTACTTTTTAGACCTAAAACAATCAAATCGGTTGCCGTTCGTGTCTGGCTTCATCTACTTGGGTTTGTGGGCTTGTAATGCTATCAGGAGAGACCCACGGCTTCCTCTGGGAACAAAATTACTTTCGTTTGGTCTTTATTAGGCTTGTAATGTTTCTCTTTAATTATAAGACATGCATTGTCTTTTTTATAGAAATGTAAAATATTCTCGCAAATTATTCTCTTCCATATGCTGAACTTCCTTTATCTTTTAACATATTTTTGAAACTTTTGTTGTTGTTAAAGAAACTAATGGAGGATAGAAGATTGAGAAGAATAGTGTGATATAATTTATAAGACTGATACAATATACATACAAAGCTTTATAAGTAATTAGTTTTAAGAAAGAAAAAAAAACCACACATTATTTAAACCAATTATATTGGTATCCTCGTGGTTCGTGGTTTCTCACTAAGTAAATCCTATCCACTTTAGCAATCCATGTACGTGTCTGATTACATCGAAGTCTCATAGCCTCCTGTATGCTCTCCATAAGTCATAAAAATACTCTATTTTCTAACCATGCCTCAAGTGACAAGCCTATACTATTCTTTTGGGGCTTCGTTCATACAAGGTAAAACTATATGACTGATTGAATTCCACATCATGGAGACCCGTATTTTCCTTATGGTTGGATGTGCACTTAACTTTGAGAATACTACCACGAATGAGTTCGTTTCGAATTTCTAAAGTATTACAACCCTTACCTTCATTCAAACTAAAACACAAAGCAATAACTAACACAAAAACAATTAAATGATTCATCTTTTGGATCCAGAATATTTTTTAAAGTACAATGAATCCAAAAGCGTCAAAGTGTAACAATTATAGTTTTTTTTTTTGTGTTGTAAAAAGCTTTAATGTTCATAAGCCACTAACTAAATTTGAACATAAATATAAACAAAATTAAATCTATGGCGGAAGGAGCATTTGCTATCGAAAACTAAGGCTAATCAGTTATATTATATTATACCAAATAAATTAGAAAACAATTTACTTAAGGTTATTGCTCAAATAACCTTGCTAATTAGTGTTTTACAACAAAAAAAAAAAAAAGCTAATGACAAATTTGTATTTTAATTAACTAACTATTTTAAATAATTTTTTTTTTTTTTGGTTAATTTTTTTTTTTTTGGTTCTCTTATCCTCTTGGCGCTTCCACTCATTGTCTCTCGTCGTCATATTACTAATGACGTCTCTTCCTATAATCCTCGCATCCTCTCCTCTGCGAAACCTAACCAAACCTTGTTCAACTTCTCAAATTTCACCAAAACAACCTCCAATACATCTCCTAACCAAAACCCATCTCTCTGTAACCATTTCCCAACTCATCATCACTTCCCCTGTTCTCGCATCTGAATCATTCGACTCAATTTCATCAGACCCATCTTCTGGAAGAATCGATTTGGAGTCAATTTTAGTCACAATTGATAATTTCTTCAACAAGTATCCATTTTTCGTAGCGGGATGTACTTTTATCTATCTTGTGGTTTATCCATCTGTGATTTTTTACTTGAGGAAGTATAAACCAATATCCGCCTTGAATGCGTTTCGTAAGCTTAAGAGTGAATCTGATTCTCAGCTTTTGGATATTAGAGATGATAAGACTTTGGCTACATTAGCATCACCGAATCTTAAGTTTTTGGGTAAGAGTTCTGTTCAAGTTCCGTTTAGTGAGAATGATGAAGATGGGTTCTTGAAGAAAGTTAAAGGAAGGTTCTCTGATCCTGAAAATACAGTTGTTTGTGTTCTTGACAAGTAAGTATAAACTAAAGATTCAAACTTTAATTAAAAAAACATTGCTTTGTGGTTAATCTCATATGTTTTACCTTTGATGTGGAAGGCAGTTTTGATGGTAATTCGTCGAAAGTGGCGGAATTGTTGATCAAGAATGGTTTCAAAGAAGCTTATTATATTAGAGGCGGCGCGAGAGGGAAGAATGGTTGGTTGGTATGTTACATCTCTCTCTATGGAATCAGAATATGATCTTTGCTTTTGATTGATAGACTACATTGTTTTGGTATATAATCTGAAGTTATGGTCTTTGTCTTGCTTGCCTTGTTTAACAATGTCTCAGGCTATTCAAGAAGAGCTTTTGCCTCCACCGGTGCATATGTATACTGCGAAAACCGTAAAATCTTCAAACAACAATGAGGCGTCAATTGTTGGAACTGAGAACTAATTCAAGAACATAGCGTAATGGTATGCAGGTTCTCATTCTCGGTATTACCTCGTAGTTTTCTCTTTTAGTTGTCTCTCTCAATTGGCTTTTGCCTCGGTTTTGCAGTGGCAAGACATTATACTAACAGACCATTGGAATATGAGAAAGCTTCTTTAGGTGTGGAAGACTAGCTATATATTGAAAGACTTGTTTAGATCTCAAGACCACTATAGGCTTCGCAGAAGCTAACCTTGTCTACATACTGATTTCTCAGGCTATTCCAATAAAATGAGATTTGTTACTATTGTGAAGTTTGTGTTTTTGTACCTGTTATATTGCATTGTGTGACAGATAATGTTTTTGTGTAATGTTCTTCCTGAGATTGTTTGAAAAAATTCACATGCAATTCCTTTGGTAATCTATCTTCAGATTTATGATATCACCAAAACAAAAGATAAGTTTACTTACTAGCGTTAAACCAAGGCAAAAGAAGAGTTAGAATGAGATTTGTGAACGGAATGCGTGAAAGAAGAAATAAATAGCATTTTACACAAGGTTCTAACTTCCCAGCAATGGAATATAAGTCTAGTATTCTTCGCCTTCGGGTTTTACTGTCCCTCGGTTGAAGCAAACCAAGAACTCTATGTTTCCCTCGGCGCCCTTTATGGGAGATTCGATAAAGCCTTTGTTGGTAAATCCATAGCGCTCAACACCATTTATTATCTTCTCAAGAACCTTCACACATAAACATGTCATCAAAGATCGTATTTACCACATCTTTGACTTGCTATATAAGATCAAGGCTTATTGCTATCCTAAGATAGATACAGAAAGAATCCATGATAGCAATAAACAAAGACCATCAATGGTCGTAAATTAACCCGTGACGATTCAATTGTCATAAAGAATTAAAGAGGACAGGGAGAAGCATACATACCTCCTGATGTACTTCGGGATCTCTCACTATGCCACCCTTCCCGACCTTGACAGAAAACAAGATGTTGAAGAATCAATACTGAAATCTCAGAGATGATTTACATATATCATTATACTATTATATAAACATACAAGTATGTACTTCTCACTTCTCAGAGTTCAGTGTATCTGAAATCTAGCATCTTCAAGTCAATAAATTGATTACCTGTTGTCTTCGAGCTTCAAATTGGGGTTTAACAAGGGTAACCAAAGTTGCATCTTCTTTCATCACATTCATAATAGCTGGCATCACCTGTTCATAAGTTTCAAGTCTCAAACATTGCAGATGATATAACATAACAAAGTCATAGTTCCTCGAAACAAACTGAACAGAAGCAATCATACCTTAAGAATGGAAATGAACGAGAGGTCTAGGGTCACTACATCGACTTTTTGTGGGAGTCCAGGAAGGTACCTCAGATTTGTCCTTTCTATAACAGTCACTCTCTTATCATTGCGAATTTTATCCGCTACCTATTACAATACACCGAATAATTAACTGACAAATCAAACAATCTGTAGGAACAATAATTAGAACTAACCTGACCGTAACCAACATCTACGCCATAAACATGAGCTGCACCATAACGAAGCAAACAATCCGTAAACCCTCCTGTAGAAAGTCCTGAATCAAGAACTACTTTCTCAGAAACATCAACATCTAGCTTCTCAAGTGCAGCTTCCAGCTTGAGTCCACCTCTGCAAGTGAAAAAAAAGAGTAGAGGACAGTCGACAACAACAGAGTCTTAAACCATAAAGAAACTGTAGTACGATTAGGGTAACTTGGGAGGAATAATCACCTACATACAAATTTTGGAACCTCAGCTGTAATCTTTATAGCTGCAGTATTAGATACAGGCATTCCAGCTTTAATAACTCTTCTCCCATCCACAAGAACTTTGCCTACATAACATATCATACACACTTAAGATTAAAAGCCACACCAAGAAATTCTTGTTCCTTCTTAATACGAATAACATAAACCTCTGTGTGCTTTATGGATATGAATACAAGGACTCACCTTGTATAATCCATGATTGTATTAGTGTGCGACTGTATTCGTTAAACCTTTCAACACATGCCTCATCTAGTCTCTGTTTTTTGCTGTTATAGAACAAAAAGAGTCCATTAAAATGAAGCAGAGAAAGATTTAAACTTCTTAACTTCAATGTTAAAGAAAGACCCTAACTTTTTCCCACGAGTAGCAGAAGCAAAACATCTCATGGTACTGCATTCTCCAGCTTGAACCCATCTCCCTGAACAAACAACACAATACAAAGATCACAAAACATTATAATTAATGAAACTAAGGAAGATAAAAACCCAAGCTTTCAACATTTCAAACTGAGTCAGATTCATCGATTGAATTGTCATTTTTTCCTCTATCATTTGACAATTTAGGCAAATAATTTGTGGGTTTTTCCCCACGAACTAATCCGATCGCTAACCAGTTTCAAAAATCCAGTTTTCGGAGAAAGAGAACTCAAAAACTGACAATGCCCACCAAGTGTTTGTAGAAATTACCAGGGAGAAGAGGATTGTGAGATTTGGATAAGAAGCCGAGGAGAGAGCTGCGTAAAGCTATGGGAGGTCTAAGAACATGAAATCCCATCTTACTACTTCCTCCTTGGGAAAAAAAGATCGAAGAGCTCTGTTCTCTATCTTGTTCCTGTTCTTCTTGCTAATGACATTTGACAAATGGGATAGTTTTGTTCTAGGGTTGGCGAAACAAAGCCTCTGTCTCAAGAACAGGGTTTCCGTTTTTCTTTATTTTTTTACTTGATCATCAATCAAACCAACTTTATTTTTATTTTACTTTTTTTGTTTTACTTGGATATCAAAACGACGTTGAAATAATAATATTTTTAAAGAAAAACAATGACCATAGTTCGTACGTATTAGAGAAAATTAGCTAACATGACTTATTTTTTCTTCCCAATTACAAATTTAAAACCAAATCTACTCAGCTCTTAAAATGAAGCTGATCAAGGGGGTGATTGGCACAAGGCTTTAAAGACTTTAGGACTACTCTAAAGTCTTCACAGCATTTTTTTTGCCAATTAGGCTTTTATTATTTTAATTATTTTTAAAGTTCTCAAAGCCTTCTTTTTTTTTTTTTCCTTCTTTGTTTTCCTTTTTTTTCTAAAGTCTCAAAAAAGTGGCTTTAGATTTCTGGGGACATTTATCAAATGAATAAACAATTAAAAGCTTTTTTTTGTCTTATCTCCATGATAATTAAAAACTCTCTACATGTTTACATATATCTTTTCATAATTTTTTTTATAAATTAATTATTCTCATTTTTCTATCTTTCTTTTATGATCCATTTCACTAATAATTATTTTATTTACATCATCATCATTAATGTTGGTTTAAAAGAGTATATAGGATTAGTATTTTTTTCAAAAGCCATATAAGTTTATCCCACTTCTTACTAATGTGTTGGGTATTAAATTTCCGCATAACATAATAAATATAAATAAATGTGTGCATTTAGAATATTCATTTCTAAATTTTTATCATTTCTTTTAAATAAATATTTTATTTTTAATAATGGATTTTAAGTTCCTACCAAAACAAATAATGGATTATTAGTTTTTTTTTTCTTATTGCAATGTTTGGTTATTAAAAATGAGTGAATAATATATATTATTTTATTTCTAGTGAATATTTATCTATTTATTTATTCATTTATTTATCAATTTATTGTTTTTTTCTAAATTCTTATCATTAATAAAACTATATTTGCATATGAATTCATTTCTAACATAATTTTTATTTATTAATAATAATAATAATAATAATAATAATAATAATAATAATAATAATAATAATAATAATAATAATAATAAAATAACAGTCACAGCTTCTACAGTTTTGTGTTACCAATCAGATTTTAACAGCCAAAGCTTTTATAGTCAAAGTCTTTACAGCCAGATTCTCTGCAGCTCAAATTCTTAAAATCAAAGCTTTTAAAGCCAAAACTTATAGCCGTTACCAATCGCCCCCAAATTGAGTTTGAACTAAAAAGAAACAATAATTTTGAAACGAATTGCTACAAAGGAAAAAAAAAACAATAAACATAATCAGAAAACGGGTAGTCACGGGAACGGCCCAGTACTAGAGATAGTTTGGCCCAGTCAAAGACAAAACAAATTTTGTCCCACATCGAACAAAACCGAAACTAGAAGTCGAAGGATTCATATATATAAAGCATCTGGTGCGTTTTGGATAAACTCATGGAGTCGTGTGGTGAGCACAAAGCGAACTATTCTTTCGCCTTTTACTAAAGAATACCGTGTGCTCTCCACTTCAAACGGCATACACTTATTTTTGGAGGAGTTACTTCTTCTGAAGCTTGCTCCATTAATCTCATAATTCAATATTTCTCACTAAATTGCTTAATTGGTTGTGTAACTAAGGTGATGAATTCTCTAGGAGTGAGGCTGATCAGTGGTGTGTACTGGTCTCAACATAGTTAAAGTAAAGGCAACATTGACTTGGAATCTGCATCCCCTAAGAGCGGAGTCTTACTTGAGTTGGTAGTCGATCCAGCTGAGAGATCCACAACATTAAGTCATCACAATGCGTTGCACCTTTGAGCCAGACAGCTTTTTCTTTGCATTACATTCAAATTAAACTATTAAACATAGTACCAACTATATATAAAACTTACATGTGATGTAGCATCATATATTGAGGTCAACCACATTTATTAAGCATATTATGTTATAGACTTAATATTACTATCAACATGTTGCCAAAAATGGTTACACAGCATTTTCGATGAGTTGCGGAGACAAAGAAAACAACAGCTTTCTCTTTTTTCTTTTTTTTTGGATGTGCTCAATTTAAAAAATATCTGAATGAATTAGTAAGGTTTTGTTTTTTTTTTACATACCAAAGAAAAATATTTTATTTTTTCTAATTTTTATTTTCAATACGCTCGTAGTATATGAATTAATCATTTCTAAAAAAACGTAAAAAAGTGAAAATTTGATGGATATGAATGGAAAAAAAAGTAGCTGATTTACTTTTTGAAACTTGAAAAAGTGTTATACCATTCATTGGTGTTATCTTTAAAATTAGGTTTTTAGTCATTTTTTCTAAACCCTATTTGTTCGCCTTAAGAGAATATAAAGAAAAACATAAAACCCTAAGAAACAATAAAGCAAACATAAAACCCTAAACAACAATCAAAGCCACCGGCACTTCCTTCATTTGGAGATCGCAATAATGATACTGGAACTTTCAGACGACTTGTTAGAGGAGGTACTGTGCCGTGTTCCAGCTACATCTCTGAAACGGTTACGATGTACTTGCAAACTATGGAACCGTTTAGTCAACGATAAGAGATTCGCAAGAAAACACTTCAGCAATGCCCCAAGGCAATCTCTGATTCTCATGTTGAAGAATTTTGGGTTTTCTTCGATG